CAAAATCCTAGCTATCTATTCTGTTTAATCATCGCCATCCATTATTAACTTAAAACAACTGATTAACCCAGCCCCTAAACACCGAAAAATAAATGCCTAACTACATTATTTATGCCCTTTTGCCTCCTAAGATCCAACACCTTTACTAAGTTATCTTCTTTGAAAATCTTCTCTCTTTAATGCTCATTTGAAGCTTCTCGATACTTAATATTACTTTTTTCAAATTTTTTTCTTGATTTGGGTTGTAAGATCTAGATATGCTCAATAAAAGCATTGACACCATCACTTACCTTGCTTGACACACCTAATGGCACTAGGTCAAGCACATGATTAGGACTCCTTCAATTAACAATGTCAAATGGTGATTTTCAATTTGATCGATTCATTGAGTTATTGTAAGTAACTTCGGCTTGGGTAAAACAAGGTCCCATTGAGATATAGTATCACTAATAATACTCCTCAAAAGGTTATGAGGCTCTTATTCACCACTTCATTTTACGTATTTGTTTGAGGGTAGTTAGCACTAGAAAATTGAAGTTTTATTCCTAGATGCTTCCACAACGTGTACTAAAAAAGACTCAAGAACTTAGTATCTCGATCAAATGTAACAGATTTGGGGACACCATGTAGTCCCACGATCTCTTTGAGGAAGATATTCACAACGTGTATAGCATTATAGTTTTCCTATGAAGAATAAAATGCATCATTTTTAAAATCACTCAAAAACAACAAAAATAGTCTATACCTCATGTCGTACATGGAATCCCAAGTACAACGTTTATAGAGTTATCAACCCATGGGGTATCTAGAGTTAAAGGAAGTATAAGGATTTGCATTTTCTGTTTGACCTTTAAATACTTGGCAAATTCGATATTGGGCCACAAATATGTGAACATCCCTCTGCACATATCACCCAAAATATTTCTTTCATTATAACCATGGTTTTTTCCCTTCCAAAGTGCCCATTTAAGCCTCCAACATGAAGCTCCATTACTATATTCTCCCTTAGGGAGTACTCAGGTATATATAACCTTACACCCTTAAATAAACATCCATCTTATGTTTGATACTCATTGATGGGTTCTCACCTATTAACCCATGTTGCTAGAATTTGGATAATCTTTATATTGGTCTTTTATTATTTCAAACCCTAGCACTTCCATAGTCAAAGTTTCAAGAAAAGCCACATTTCTACGTAAAGTATGGACTACATTTTTTTAGGTTCTGGCTTTGTGCCTTAGTACGAATATATATTCTTAAAGGAAGGTTGCCCACTTAGCATGACATGTATTTAACTTCTTTTGGGAACTCAAGTATCAACGTGTTTTGTAATTTGAGTATAGAGTAACTTTTTCTAGATTAAGTCGTATCAATGCATAAAACTAGAAGTCATAGATCAAATACTTCTTACATGCATCGTTCAACTTTTCACTAAAGAAAGTCATTGGTCACCCCAATTGACTTAGAACTATGCCTATACTAACAAGCGATGTATTGGTTTCCAAAGAGCTTGGGAAAATCTGGTAGTGAAGTACTGATGCTTGTATCATCTTTTGTTTAATGAAAGTAAAGCTTTTATCAGCAGCGCGACTCCATAAAAAATTTCAGACCTCATACAATTAGTCATTGGTGCTATTAGTGTGTTGAAATTTCTATAAAAGGTTAGAAAGTTATGAAAAGAATGCACCTCAGTGAGTGGCTTTGACACATGCCACTCAACTACAACATTCACCTTTTCTTAGTCCACCTTGAATCTCCCTAATGAAATGATATATACACAAAAAAGATGATATTGTTCGCCATGAATAAGATTTTTTTTTTAAATTAAAAAAGAAGTCACTCCTTAGTACATCAAAAACTTGATCCAAGTGATTAAGATGATCGTTTGATTTAGTATTAAAAGTAAACCACAACAAAATTTACCGATAAAAGAACAAACCACAACAAATTTACTGATATCAAAATAAACTACAACAAATTTACCAATAAAAGAACAAGGTACCTTAGTCATAGGCTCTTGAAGGTGTTTGGTGTATTAGAAAGCCCAAATGGCATCACCAGCCACTCGTAGAGTTCATCTTGAGTTTTGAATGCAATCTCCCATTTGTATTTGATTGTATTTGACAAAACTGTATTTGATTATAGCGACTCCTTAAATCGACCTTGGAGAAAACTTTGGCATCATGAAGCATATCTAACATATCATTATGCCTAAGTATGAAAAGCTCGATATTTGATCTTAATTTTATTAATCGGGTAACTATCCACATGCATCCTCCACAAACATCTTTTTGGGAGTTAATAATGCACATATGGCACATTGTGACATGCTTCACTGAATCAAACCCATTTGAAGCAAATCAACAACTTATTTATGTAGCTCATGTTCTATAGGGCTCATACAGTAATGAGCCAATTTTAGTAAGCAAGAACTAGGGTTGATAATGATTTGGGTGGCCCAGCTCGGTCATCCTGGGCATTAAAAACTAAGGTTTGGGCCACAAAATGTAGTCTGAGGGCCAGGTTAGGGTTGCACCACTACGGCCCTCGGCCAGGGCCAGGCTAGAGCAGGCCTGCACCAAGGTCGAAGGGCCGACCTGGTTCGGCCCAGCCCAACCACTTTTTCCTTTTATTTCTTTTTATTTTATTCAGCATGGCCCAGCCCTGACCTGGGCCAGGCCTCTTTGAACCAGCCTGGGCCAGGCCAGCCCTATGGGGATAGGGAAATGCAAGGGCCAGTGCTGGCCCAGCCTAGGCCAGACCCGATCTATTGCCAACCCTATCTAGAATTAGGCATCATATCAATGTGATGTTGAATATTTCTTATTGGGAGAAGGTCATAAGGGAATTCTACTGGCATCAAGTCTTTATACTTGCTAAGTAAAGGCTTCAGAGATTCAGGAATTGAAGGAGGTCTTGAACTTCTTTTATAAGCAATACGTAAATGACTTCATATCCTTGCTATCATCTTTTAATATTTGCATAATATACAACTTTGGATTTACCTCATTAATGGATTTAGGTGTAGGAAGTTGCTTCATAAGATGGCGTGTGATGTTAATGTTGTCCTCGATAAAGGAGTAAGTTTTTAGTTTGGTCTTATGTATCATATCCTGATCATGAAGCTATGGTATACCAAGTAAGATGTCACATGCATCTATGGTTTGCAACATCACATTATATCTCATTTTTATAATTAGCAACCATATAAAAAAAGACTAAGCATTAAGTAAGAATTGGTACCTCATCACGCTTCTTGAGCCATTAAATTTGATGCGGTCATGGATAATTGTGCTCCTTCAATTTAAGTTTTTCCACCATCTCCATAGATACAATATTTATACTACTCCCACCATCAATTAGTATTGTGCGTTAGTTACTACTTAGTGCGCTAGTGGTTACAAAAATATTGTGTCACAATCATTTCTCCTCATCAAAATGGTCTTGGAGTTGATAGCATAGTTTGTTGGATGACTAAGGTTTCACCTACTCCTAACAATTCATCTTTGCAACCTCTGAGATGATCAATCGCTTCATAGAACTAGCCCATCCAAATATCACCCTCTCTCTCATAGGCATGCTCTTCATCAACTTCTACTCTATAAATTTCTGTTAGCCAAATTAACTTTGACACCATGTGATTATATGTTCTATCCCCCTAAAATATACAATTTGAGTATATTTGTGGGGTGTTTTAACTTTTACTACCCCTTTCCCACCACCATTGCTAACTAAGTTAAGGTTTGGAAATGTTAAGAGACTTGGTTCCCACACCCTATAGGTGGCCTTCTGAAGTTAAAACTTATTGCCTGATGTTAAATTAGAGCCTCTTATAACTGAACTTTTCCTCCCAAGGCCTAGATTGATAATTTCCTCTTCCTTGAGGGCCAAAATGTAGGCATCATACATCTAATAAATGTCTTCGAAAGTAATTCATTCTAGATGTCTTGATTTAGCTCATTTAAGTAACGATTGATATTTTGATCTTTAAACTCTTGTACATTTGCCCTAAATGTCAAACTATAAAGCTCCTCATTGTAGTCACGGATTTCTCCCATTTCTTCCGATTCGACGCCTTTGATACAAGGTTCGGCATAGTTCACTGGTTAGAACTTTCGACATAGCTTCCTCTTCTTCTTCTCTCATGTATTAATTTTCTCCTTGCCTTGTCAAAAACAACCTTTGTATAAATCATCCCACTGTGCACAAGGATGGCCAAAAAATTAGTTGCTACTAGTTTTACCTTTTTGTGATCAGCTATATTCTTGTATTTAGAGATACTTTCTCAACGTTGCTCAGTCCACAAAAAATATCATTTACATGAAGTCAGCTATAGAACTTTTGAATATTAATTTTGATTTCAAATTCTCTTATCTTTTTTTAGGATTTATTGAATATCAATTTTGATTTCAAGTTCTCTTATCCTTTTCAAGGATCAAATAAATCGTTCTTTCTTTTTTGGGTAATTCAATGGGGAAGACGAGCCCCTATTAGTTTTCTTTTTTGGGTAATTCAATGGGGATGACAAGCCCCTACTAGTTTTCTAAATTGTTAGTGATTTTTGAATTCGTTTTTGGGTATTTCAATGGGGATGATGAGCCCTTACTAGTTTTTTAAATTGTTAGTGGTTTTTTAATGTGTTTTTTTTTAAATTGTTAGTAGTAAGAATGAATGGAAATCTAAATTACTAGTGATTTTTGAATGCGAAATTGTTAGTGGTAAGAATGAATGGAAGTCTAAATTGTTAGTGATTTTTGAATGCCATGGAAGTCTAAATTATTAGCGATTTTTGAATGCTAAATTGTTAGTGGATAAGAATGAATGGAAGTCTAAATTGTTAGTGATTTTTGAATGCCTAAGAATTTAAGCCCTTAAAAACTGAAGGGGCCATTGGAAGCCTAGAGACCTTAACTGAGGGGCCATTGGGAAGCCTAGAGACCTTAACTGAGGCATTTGCACATTTTTGGTGCTACCACCAACAACCCTCAAACCCCACACACAACAACACTCAAACCCCACACATTTCTCACAATTAGTTCATTTAATTCAACATTGGTGCTGTGCCACCCCACCAACAACCTCAACCCCCATTCTCAATTTAGTTAATTTAATTCAACATTAAAATACTAGAAGCGGAATTCGAAAATTGAACTCGGGACCTCCCGCACTCTATAATATGGGACGTGGATTTTCTTTGTGATTGGTGCTGAGCCTATCTAATGGCGGTTTCTTCTACTTCATTCGTGCAACCCCAATTAAGAAGCTTTGGCCATGGCTTGAGGCCTGCGCATTCCCCTGGAAATTCTCTCTTTTTTTCTTCTTCTCCTTCGTCTTCTTCTGCAGTCATGTTTGGTTCGAGAACCAGTCCTAAAGGGATTGTTTTCAACTCTTCTTCTAATGAATCTGGTTCTTTTATGGATGCCAATGCAAGGTATAGCCATACCCATTAAGATTATTGGGTTTCTGTCTTTATTCTTCGGTTTCTGTGTTTTTCTGAGAGAGAGAGAGAGAATTCTTGGGTTTCTGTCTTTAATTTTTTGGTTTCTGTGTTTTAGAGAGAGAGAGAGAGAGAGAGAGAGAGAGAGTAGTTAGTTTAGTACTACGTAGACGACCACAGTAGGAGTCGTGGTCGTTCTTTAGTTTTTTCGTTTTTTTACTTTTTCCTTCTTCTTTCTTTTACGTTCTTCTTTAC